GCCCTGGCACAAAGGAGGCATTTAAGAAACATCCATCATATGGTTCCACTTTCCCTCTTTTCAAAACCTAGGATGTTTGTCCATTAGATTTTAAGCTCCTTGAGGGCAGGGACTGCCTTTTCCTCTTTTTGTATCTCTAGAACTGAGCAGAGTGCCTGGCATACAGTAGACACTGGATAAACGTTTACTGACTGACTGATTGATCTCCAGTCTCTGAGCACCTCTCCTTTCCATAATGCCTCAGACAGAAACTACAGCAGCTCCATCAATCCTACAAGGTAATGGATGGCTTCAGGGCTCAGAGATAGTCATTGAGGCCAGGGGCCAAACTCTTTCTTCATTATTTTTACTTCCATCCTTTTCAGTCTAAAGATACTTCTCGTTGATGGAGAAATCATTAGTGAAATAGAAGCACAGAATTCTGCTGCCCTCTTCTTCCTGAAAGCAGTGCGGGCTCCGCCCCAAGGAGCCCACCTCTCCCCACCTCCATAACCTTCATCTCCTCCCTGGCCCCCAGCCACCCAGAGCTGCTCATCAGCCACCATGACTTTGCTTCTAATCTCAGGAACAGAATTCCTCCAATCTGCTGCTCCTTGTGCATCTTCCACATATTCCCAGGCTGCGTCTGTGTCAGGAAAGAAGCTTAGAATGGTGGGAAAGGCTTTGTACCTGTCCCAACATAGCTCAAAGATTCTGGGCATTCCCCTTCTCTTCCTCCTCTGGGCCATATTATTCTTCCCTTCAACACCAGGGCTGGTTTAGGGTCTCTTTCTGTCTATTTAGAGTCAATTTTCTTCTGGTTTTTTAAAAACTCAATGATTTCTTCCTATCTCAAAACAAAATTTGTTTTGGACTGTGAGTTTATTAGCAGAGAACTTCCAGGGTGGAATTGGGAGCAATGCAGGTCAGCACCTCCTCTAAAACCTGCATATAATCCTATGAGATTATATGAGAGAACTGCCTAGAACCCTGATCAGGTAAGTGACTCGCCCAGGGTCATCCAGCCAATCTGTCAGGTCTTGCTGACCATGAGGCCGGCTGTCTCTCCACTACTCCCCACATACCCTCCTAGGAACTCATACTCTCAAAGAAGCCAGAAAATAGAAAGACATCCCATCAGTCCTTTCACCTTCTGCTCTAGAAGTTGAACAAACTTGCATTTCTTCTGTGGACAGCCTCCAGAAGAGATACAGACATGGCTTAGCCCCTGGTGATGGGTGGAACAGCTGCCCTGCTCCCCATGCTTGCTGAACCCCAACTCTTGAGGGCTCTGTGGCTCCTTAGCCGTTATTGGCTGCTCAGGCGAACTGCCCCCGAGATGTCTTGCTAGAATATCTCAGACTCCCCGCCTCATGGCTTCTGCTGCTAAAAAGCCACCTACCTGCCTACTCATGCCTATGAGGCTTCAGGGAGATTTGTTTGGATAAAGAGGATGAGACCAATTTAGAGAGAGCTCTGAATGTCAGGCTAAAATCAACAGGGTAATATTACCTGATGAGCAGGGAAGGACATAAAACTGATGTATGAGAAAGACTAGTCTTGTCAGAGTATATGAGACTGATTAAAACAGGCATTCTTAACCTGGGGTCTGTGGATAGATTTCAGGGGGTCCATGAACTTGGATAGGGAAAAATGCATCTTTATTTTCACGATTATTTGGTTTCCTATGCAATCCCATGTAATTTATTTTATGGATTTAAAAGCATGACCCTAGGGGCAGCTAGGTGGTGCAGTGGATAGAGCACTGGCCCTGAAGTCAGGAAGACCTGAGTTCAAATCCAGCCTCAGACCTTGACACTTACTAGCTGTGTGACCCTGGGCAAGTCACTTAACCCCAATTGCCTAAAAAAAAAAAAGCATGACCCTGAGAAGGGGAACACAGACTTCCCTAAGATATCAAAGGGGTTCATGATGCCCCAAAGATATCAGAGAGCTCAGAGGAAGGAGAGAAATGTGACGGGTGAAAGATGAAATGACTGAGGAAATAAAGGTTCAATCTTACAAGCATACTGATTTATTAAGCAATGTATGGCAACTGCCCCAAAGTTGTAACCAGGTCTCCTTAGCTTAGGCCTGGATGCTGAATACAGGGGGAGAGACTTTGACACATGAAAAACAATGAGTCAAATAAGACCAATTAATGAAAAGGAAGCAATGCAACATTAGGTAATCTGATTTCTAGTTGGAGGAAAGAGTGGGGAGTTTCCAAGTTGGGAGTGAGAGAGCAAACAAATACAATCCCCTAAATTCAGAAAAGAAGGTATCCCCCTCACCCAATTGTCTGTAAATAATCAAAGGAACATGGAAATGATAAGTGATCAATCAGTACGGGGCCCGTGTTCACAAGAAACATACGGGTCACTGTCCAACGGTGAGAAAACTCCTTGCATCAGCTTCTGGATCTGACTGAGTCTCTGGTCAGTATTACCCAGGTCCTTAGTTAGGGGTCTCTGAACAACAGCTAGAAGTAGTCAAACAACACAATAAAGTTTTTTCCCCAATTCCCTCAACTGAATAAAAGTTTCTTATAAGACCCATAATTAAATAGAAAGGAAACTGAACTACTCCAGAATTGAGTCACAAGATGGAATCCATGTGGTTAACCCAATACCCACAATTGACCACTTGCTGTCCTAATCCCCTCAATTTCCTCAGAAAAATAGGTAAGAAAATCAGTTAGGAGTCAATGAGAATAACTTAAGTATAAGATGATGATGTCCTTTATCTGGGAGAAGTGAGCGTGGTTAAGAGAGATATTATCAAGGAAGAATCAAAAGCAACTGGTGAGTATTTGGCTATATGGGGGTAATGAAGGATGGAGGAGAGAGGGGACCAAAGATAACTAGCTGGGAAGTGGAAGTACTCAATCTTTTTATTAGAATAAGGGAAGTTGAGTCAAGGATGCTAAAACTGGCAAGTGGAAACTCACCTTCCTATCCCTGGGCTCCCTGCTTCAAGCTGTCAGAATCACATTCACATAAAAGGAAGGCAAAATCCAGACCCCAGGAATCCCCACTTGTCCTTTTCAGTCCCTTTCTCTTTCCCTATAAACAATGTAGGAGAACCCAGAGGACAATGCTAAAGGGAGACCCTTCTCCCTTCTCTCCTCCATGTGAATTTATAGAGAGTGGAGTCTGTGGCCAGGATTGGAGAGTTAACCTAGACCCAGAAGTAGAGATAACAGACTTTTGGAGGCGTCAGGCACCTTAGACTTAATGTAGTCCACTCTTTCACATTTTATCCACACAGACAGTCCCTCTCTAACAATCCAGACTGTTAAACCTGTGCCTCAGTGGGTGGCTATGGCCAGACATTCATCTGCTGTCCAACTCTCTAGGACAACGCCTCTCCAAAAGAGCTGGGCTGGCCCTTTAATGCCTGGCGTCTATTGCTGCACCCGTCCTCCATGTTTTCTCAGTATGATAGGACTCCTATTCAAAGCAGGAGTAGTCTTTGAAATCTGGTCACTTCCACATCCCAAATAGCATCAGGGAGGACTTTCGGAGAGTAAGATGGAAGATCTTGGGTTTACGGTGTCCAAAGGGGCAACATGAGTCAGCAGTGAAATATAGTAGTGACAGAAAGCTAACGCAAAGCTACCAGCATTAGGAGAGTCAGACCATCCAGAAAGGAGGTGCTGTGCTCCAGGAGACCTGACCTGGCCCAATGTTAATGCCAACAGTTAATGCCAACTGTTATTACTTATTACCTTACTCTGTGTTGAGCACTATGCTAAGCAATGGGGACAGAAATGAGCAGGGAAGGACATAAAACTGATGTATGAGAAAGACTAGTCTTGTCAGAGCTACCTGCGTAGCTCCTAGCACTTCATTTTGGGAAGGACAGTAATAAGGGGAAGAAAACCAGGAAGGGTCCAGAGATTAGACAGTGACCTCCTTGAGAGCAGGAAACATAGTTCGCCTTTCTTTATTCTCAGTTCTTTGCACAGTGCCTGGCACATAGTAGACCCTTGAGGACCAGTTGAAGGAACTATGGATGCTTGGCTTGGAGAAGATAGTCATGAAATGGCTGTTAGTGATCTCTTCAAGTACTAAAAGGTCTGTCATATGGAAGAGGGAGTTGAGGCAAGGCAACAAGCATTTATTAAGTGCCTACTATGTGCCAGGAATTATGTGTACTAAGCACTGGAAATGTAAAGTAAAGCAATTTGTATTGCTTGACCCGAAAAGCAGAAATAAGAATTTACAGTCAGATGGGGCAAAGGCAGAGTCCCTGGCATGCTCACTTGTATCCTGGCTCAGCTCACTCTCTGGGCTTCACTTCCCCCCTTACCAGCTCTTCTCTCCTTCTCCTCCCCTCCCCTCCTTCCTGCTTCCTGGCTCCCCTTTAAATAGTCTTCCCTTAGCAGGTAGGAATTGTCTTGTTCGTATTTCTGTCCCCATTGCTTAGCATAGTGCTCAACACAGAGTGAGGTAATAAGTAATAACAGTTGGCATTAATGTGGCACTTTAAGCTTTACGAAGTGCTTTACATGTTAATTCATTTGATCATTAATTAATTTGAGCATAAAACTTTATATTACTCTCAAGCTTAGGGATATGCCAATGACATTGTAAAAAACAGTCTTTAAATATCTTCACATAATTTCAAAGAGAACAGTTTAAAGAAGCTGTTTCCTTTATTTTAAGGAAATTTTAATAGCTTTATTCATTGAACAAAAGTTAACACCTAAATGCCAAGAAATGTCTTTTGTTTTCAATCAGTGTCCCTGTTTATCACAGGACTTGGTCAAAAAGGGCACTCGTCCTTTTGTTGCGGGCTAAGATGACAGATGATTTTCGTTGTTTTAGCAGACTTCAAAGGCAATGCTTTTTGTCCCCCATTGCTACCTAGACTAAAAAAAACCCTGAAATATATTAAATCAAGGAAATGTTTCTTTCAAAATGGTACCTAAATGGCCGTGCATCACACACAGAAATCCCTGAGCGTGAAAGAATTCTGTCCCTTCCCCAAAGAGATAGCGCTCCACATCTACTCACCTGCCTTCCTGGCTTTGAAAGCAATGACAGCAGCTAGTTCCCTCTGAACCTAAAGTTGCACAAGGAAAAACAGCAAAATTAGAATGAGGTTCTGAACTTCTACCGGCACATTTCCTGTTCCATTGTGAGGGATTCTGCTCGGACGGTGTGGCTGTTCCTTTCAGCCACAGAGGTTTGGCTTATTTGTTGTGTTTTTTTAGTTCTGGTGACCAATTCTGTTTGTGAATTTGCAGGCCAGGAATGCGAATGTTTTGTTGATTTTAGGAAATAATAATATTAATAGCTATCATTTTGTAGTGCTGGACTTGAGTTAACTCGTTTCAGACTCACAACAGCCCCGTGAGGCTGGTGCTATTATTATCTCCATGTGATAGCTGGGAAACTAAGTCCGAAAGAAGCTAAATGACTTGCCCAGAGTCTCACAGGTTGAAAAGGGCTGGCTCAGAATTTGAACTCAGGTTGCTGCTGTGTGCTTGTATCTATCTATGGGGCAGGCAGCCCCCTCTCCCGAAGGCTGACCCTTTCTTTGCCGTCTATAAGCTGGAAGAACTAAGCCAAGACCGTCATGTTCCCTAAAGGGCTAAAGGTCAAGGTGATTAATGCCCGACAGTAGAGGACATGGTCAGAACATTCATCGGGATTTTCTCTCCAATGGAGCTTCTCCAACTGAGCTCCTTTTCTTCCCTTACAGAACCATTAGCTTCCTGTGAATGGGGAGGATGTGAGAATTTCCCTAGAGACCAAACCCCAAATCAACATTTTCAACAGTAATTAAGCTCTTTTGAGTTGAAATGCCAAGGCAGGAATTTGCTAATGACTTTTCCCTTTGGCTTCTGGTGGTCTAATACATCCATATGCATGTTCAGCAATCTATGAGTGTACTATCCTCCCCTAAGGCATAGCAGCCCCTCCATGCCCCAGTAGAAAATCCTCTGGAACTTTCACGGTTGAGAAATTGATCACCCAGCAGACAACCAGATGAGGAACCCCAGGCTTGGTCTGGCCGGTCATTGGTGGACAGACATACCAGGCTAAGGTTGAAACCTTTCTAGCTTGCAAAAGTCCACTCTCTACTGCTGCAGCCTTCAGGAGCCACAGCTCCCCACAGAGCCACAGCAAAGCGCATGTCAGTGGGGCACATACATACATGTGCATCTATGGTCAATAAGGACAGCTGCCATTTATAGAGCGAGCTAGAGTTATCTCCATTTTACAGATGAAAAACCTGAGGTATCAAGTGATAAAAATGACTTGCCTAGGGTCACATGGGCAGCAAGTGTCTGAAGTCAGATTGGAACTCAGGTCTTCCTGACTCCAAGTCAGCATTGCACCCACTGAGCCACCTTGCTGCCAATAATCACTGAAAGCATGCAGTTTTATTTTCCTTTGACAATTTCTGATAGAAATCGTCCTAAAGCACATTCAATGCCATTCTCAAACAGTCTAGAATACTGATGAACCTTCTCTTCATGACTCCAGTTCAGAATGGTGATTTCAGTGACACAGGGGCTAAGAGAGGCTATTTCTGTAGGATTTTAAAGCATCCACAGTGTTCTGCTACATACTGCCCTTCAATCCTCCCAACAACCAGGTGAGGCGCTACTCTCCCCATTTTACAGACAGGGTAACTGAGCCTCAGAGATGTTCAGTGACCCAGTAGAGTCTCACCGCTCTCAGAAATAGAAGGCAGGTCTCCACTCAAAATCTAGGGTCCTTTCCACTGTAGCCCACATCGCCTCAACAACACACACGGCTTTGCCCCGAAACGAAACGGTCCGAAACAACTGTACTCCTCCAGGTAGTAACAGGTGTCTTCTGTGCAGTAAGCAGTTAATTCTTACTCCACCAGCCTGGTGCATTTTCACTGGCTGCCTCCCCTCCCAGAATGCTCTCTCTCCTCGATGCCACCTCAGGGCTTCCTCCCAGTCTCAGCTAAAACCTCTTCTTCTACAAGAAGCCTTTCCCAGTCTCCCCTAGGGTGAGAGCCCTTCCCCTATTGGTTACCACCAATTTATCCTGACTATCAATATCTAATTTGCATGTAGTTTTTGCCTTTCTTCATATGCCCAGCACTTAGCACAGTGCCTAGCACCATAGTAGGTGCTTGCTGACTGGACTGGTGGCCTGACTCCCTCCTGGACAACTCCTAATCTGCTCTGTACCATCACCCAGAAATCATTGCAAGTCAGCAGGAAAATCTCCAAGTTTCTGGAGTGAGTCAACTTACATTTACCCAGAATACTGTAAGTATCTGAGCTTACTTAACGTAGGTGGTGGCACTGTCTCCCAGGGAGTCAAGAGAATGGGCCTTGGGACCCCTTGGGATCACAATGTTCCAGGCTGCTCAGGGACTTGGCTTCACTTTAATCTTCGTTTCCACAGCAAAACAAACATTTATTTTAAAAATAAACTCTTAAGTTTTTAAAAATAACAACAGAAACTCTTTTCCCTGGCCTTAGAAGGCTGCTATCAGCACTTTTCCCATCTCTTCGGTCAGTGAGTCAACAAACCTGCCCTGCTCCAGCACCGTCCTCCCCTCCTGCCCCCTCCTTCTTGAGGCCATCGCCCCTGAGCCCCCTCTGCTCCCCAATTCTACAGCTCGGAGTGTTCAACATCATCCCCGTTGTCTCCTCTTAAGATTGTCATTCTCCTTGCCAAGGCCAACCCTCCTCACCTGGGCCCTTGACCCCATCCCCTCCTCCCTCCACCAGCAGTTTGTCCCTGTGATCACTGCCTCCTAACATGCACCCTTAGAGAGCCTGCATCTGACACCCCCACTCCCTGAAAACATCTGATGGCTCACCTCCCTTTTGTGGACAAATCCTAGAAAAAGCCGGTCTAAGATTCTTGCCTCTACTTCCTCACTCCTCCTCACTTCCCAGGCCCTTTGTAATCCGGCTTCTCACTCCACCAAGGTCAATGACACCCGTTATTGACAGGGTCTTTTGACAATTTTTGTCAGTCCTCATCCTTTACCACTAGAGGGCGCACTAGACCTTGAATCTGGAAGCCCTGAGTGTAAATCCTACCTCTCAGGGTTGTTGTGAGAATCAAAGCATTTTGCAAGGCTTAGAGTGCTAGATTGATACTAATTATTAGTATTAATCAATAAATATTAAGCGTCTACAATGTGCCAGACATTGTGCTAAGCACTCGGGATACAAAAAGAGGCGAAAGCCAGTCCCTGCTCTCCAAGAACTGGTTATTGTTATGAATAATCATCTCTGCGGTTGACTGCTCACGCCGAGTTGTCAGGTTTTGTCTATTCTGCCTCTAAAAATCTCTTGCATGGGTCTCCAGTTCCCCCTCCCCCAGCACCCACACTCCTCACCTCTCACCCTGGCTACTCTTAGGGAAAGCCAGCTTCTAGGAGTGGGAAGGTTTCCACAGGCTCTCTTTGGCCCCGGGGAGGGGGGCAGAACCGAGAACAGCGGACAGAAGGACCCAAGAAGCCAATTTAGACTCCCAAGACCTGCAAACCGTCCGAGCAATGAGTGCTGCCCCAAAGTGCCCAGGCACCTTCTCGGAAGGTCCTCAGGCAGAGGCTGGAGGAGCATTCCTTAGGTATGTTCTAATGGGGATGGATCCCTGCCATGCGGGGCTGGATCACTCTCCAACCCTGAGACAGTGGAATCGGGGTCTCTGCCTCCCATCGTTTCTCCTCCGACCACTCATGCTCCATACTGCTGCCAAATCACCAAGACAAAATGGAGGCCTGCCCGAGGCTCTGCACAAGATGCTTCACTATGCAGCCCATCACTAAGAAGAAAAGAAAGGTGAGAAACAACTCGGCTTTCACCTCGCATTTCCCAGGAAATTGGCAAAGGTTTTTAAAAACCAGATTTCTTCTCTCCTGGCTCTGATTGTGACCCTTGAGATTTTCCTACCTCTGCCCCGGCAGCCTTCTCATCCTGCTGCTGCCTCCCCCCACCTGCAGTACCCTCCTCTCACTGGCTAGTTCCCACCTGGAGCTTCCGATGAGGAAGTCCCAGGACATCTCACTCACTTCTCAGCCTCCTCCCCTCTTGACCTTCTCGATTTCCCCACCTTCCCATCTCCCCGCTGGTTTTCGGCTCCGTTGCAGTGTGTTACCTTGTCCCCTACTAGAAGGGTAGCCGTGTGAGGGCAGGAGCTCTCTCTGTGCTATAGTCAGGCTAGCTAGTATTCTTATTAATTTAATAATAATAATAATAATAATAATAATAATAATAATAGGTGCCATTAGATTGTGAGCTCCTGGAGGACAGGGACTGCCTCTTTGTTCATGCTATATTAACACTGATTATTAATAATAATAATAATAATAGGTGCCATTAGACTGCGAGCTCCTGGAGGGCAGGGACTGCCTCTTTGTTCATGCCATATTAACACTAGTTATTAATAATAATAATAATAATAGGTGCCATTAGACTGTGAGCTCCTGGAGGGCAGGAACTGTCTCTTTGTTCATGCCATATTAACACTAGTTATTATTAATAATAATAATAGGTGCCATTAGACTGCGAGCTCCTGGAGAGCAGGGACTGTCTTTTGTCCCTTTTTGGCTCCCCAGGGCTTAGCACAGTGCCTGGCACATAGTAGGTGCCTAATAAATGTTATTGGTTGAAGTGCCAGCACTTAGCACAGTACTTGGCTCACAGTAAGTGCTTAATAAATGCCTCATGTGGGAACCGTCAAAGCTGGTGGGGTTATGGAAAGCCAGGAACCCTAATTATTCTTGGGATAGTTGGGAATGGCTTTAACCATTCTGGAGAGGCATTTGGGAATATTCCTCAGCAGCTCAAACCCTTTGACCTAGAGATCCACCATGTCATAGGCCTCTAGAAGGTCTGAGAGAAATGCTTCATATGTTTCAAAAAAATCCATAGCAGCACTTTTTGTGGTGGCAAAGATCTGGAGACCCAGTAAACGCCCACTGATTGGGAAACGACCACACAAATTGTGGACTTTGAGTATAATGGGGGATACTGCTGTTCTATGAGAATGGATGAGGACAGTGAATTCTGCAGAGCCTGGGAAGCTTTCCAACTGGGAAAGATGAAAGGGGAT